GGTCATTTGTAGGAAATGGATGCATTTGAGACCATAATGTTAAGTGAAGTAACACAGACACACAAGCTCAGATATCACATGCTTTCTCTTATATGAAAAAATCAATATGTATACAAAGTATGAAATAAAAGATGGAAAATAGGAAAAAAAGGGGGAAAGGTATTGCAATCCAGTGCAGATAGTATATATAAAAGTGTATCTTGGCTTAGTACGATTGCCTTACATGTTTTATATAGTCTTTGGCCTATTAGTATTGCGTTAAATCTGTATATATGATAATTAACTTTATAGAGCCACAAATCAATGAATTGGAGGCTAGAAAACAAAAGGGGGTGGAGAAAAGGGGAAAAAAGAATTGAAATGTGTCGTGTACATGTACCAACTCCCCACAGTGAGTGTAGTTATTATGTACAACAAATATGTACATAATATGTAATAAAAGTAAAAAACAAAAAGAAAAATCTATTGTGAGTTGCATCTTTAGATTCTCATTATTGTATAACCACCCTTTTATTGTACATACTGCATGTCCACCTTTTGCCATTGACTCTCTTTTTCCTGAAAAGCAAACACCACATGAGTGGAAATCTTTTGGGTCTGTTTTCTTTACTGATACATCCCATGCACACAGCTTCTGGGGAACCATGTTTCAGTCTGGTTAATGCTGTAATCACAGGCTCTCACAGGATGGGTAGTAAAAAAGAAAAGGAACCATTTCTCACAGTTCTTGAGTCTAGGAGCTTTAATATCAAAGCTCCAATGTCTGGTGAGGATCTTCTTGTTGCATGGTAACATGGCAGAAGGCATCAGAGGAGCGTGTGAGACAGTAAGGGCAGAAGCAAGACAGAGCGAAAGAATCTGGACTCGCTTCCATTAAGATTAACTCTGGCAATAACTAACCCATTCCCTTGGTAATGGTCTCATCTCTTCATGAAGCAAGTGCCCCCATGACCTAGGCTTCTTAAAGGTTCCACCAAACATGAATTTGGAGGTGACATTCAATCTATAGGTATCAGTAGGTATCTATGGACTAAAATAGTGCTAATACACATTTCTTCATCATTTATTCATTTTGATAGGTTTTTCCAGTACAGAGAGAAGTAAAACAGAATAAAATGCCTTTATTGTGGGCACGGAGAAGACCACAAGTAAAGAGAGAGAGAGAGACCTGGAACTTCTGAGGGTCTTTCTTGGGGTCCAAAGTTAAACAGCCCCAGGCTGGAGGCAGGACCGCCTGACATGGCAGACCAGGATTGGGTGGGAGCATGGGAAACGGGAACAGGATATTACAAAAAGGGAAGTAGGAAGTCATAATCTGACTCAGCAGAAGAAGGGTGGGGCTTAGCACATGGCCTCTAGAGGCCAGAGCCACATTAGCTGGATGCCAGCTAATGTGATGGGTGTATTCCACCCATTCTAAGTTCACTATTCCCAGGAAGCACTCCCTGTAGGAAACCTATAGTGACTCAGCACCATACCACATGACCTCCAGCACCATATTGGCTGGGTGATATAGCAACTCAGCAGGAATTACAGTGGGCCAAGAAACCAATCAGATTTCAGTTGTTCTTTGTACTTTTTCCAGTTTTTTAAAAAACTTTCTTCCCATGTAGTGCTACTGTTATCCACAGTAATGGCCAACATAGCTAGGAGGAATAACAGAAATAACCACTAAACTCAATTTAACCTCTCTTCCTGACTTAAATATTTTTAAGTAATTGTAAAAAGTAATGAGGTTGACTGTTTATAATTTCATCTCCATTTATTTCCCATAGCCATGTTTTTGCGAAGGTGCTATTGAACAAATCATCCCAGGCACCAGGAGAGAATAGAAACAAAGTTATGTCATCAGCCTGTGAGTGACAGAGGGTTAACTGAACATAAATTGTTTAACTCACTAAGGAAGTCTCTGTGAAAGAAATTATTATTCATAATAATCTTCTAAAACCATTAATCATAACTTAATGATTTATATTCAACAAGCTATTGAAGCTTCTCCACTTTCAATTTTACGAACATTCAGTCATTTCTGGTTAGGGAAGATAAATTGCTTCCTTTGAGTTCAATAGTTTAAAAGCACTAAATTAGTTTATCTAGTTTAACCAAACTCATCTATCAACAACTATAAAACCCAGGAAGTTGGACAGTTATTGTACATTCAGTAGCATTAGTTACTCTAACAGGATAAAATGTTTTCTTGTGTATTTGTATTCATCCATATCGGTGAGCGTTTTCTCTTTTCAGCCACTAAACACAAGCCTTGAACTTGATTGTCCTCTTGAAAGTGAGAACACTTATTACTTTTAAATAAGAGGTCATTCTTCAGCATAGACTTTTCTTGTGCCCACGGTGAGATAATAGTCCTAAACGCAAGCACTGAAAGGGGGAAAAAGGTTTTCATGACAACAGCCTCATTTACCACAAGCAATCCTGGATATTACGTGTAAGTCATACATAGCATGGAGAGAAAGGAAGGCATTAGAAGGCAGCATTCTTGCTAGGTGAAAACAAGTAGAAGCTGTTGGGGAAGGGCGGACCAAAAAACAAGAAGTATGATGGTTAACTGATATAATCACCCAAGGGAGGACACTTGGGTAGCACCAGGTAGATTAGAGGACAGCTAAATGCAGGCGCTTGTGGCTAGATTTGTACTGAGAATTCAGAAAAGGACTGAAAAGCAGAGTGTGAATATGGGTGGACACCACAGAGTAGAAATGACAACTTATTGTGCTTGGGCAGAAAGTAAGGCCCTGAGTAAGCCCAAGCTGCACCATCTCAGTTCCTCATGACTTTCCTGAGGAGTAGAATTTCACGAGTTCCTGCAGAATTTCTAGCGATTCCCTAGTAGTTCACAGATTAGGCAAAGGGCATTGTCACTGACAACATAGCAATTTTCCACAGGATAGACACTCTAAGCGTGAGATAAAATGGAGAGCATTGCTGAGAGTCAATGAGAATTTAAATCCTACTGTGTCAGCTGAGGTGGAGGATTCTGGCGCTGACATTTGAGCCCTGCCTTTTCTAAGAGACTACTGCATATACTGTACTGAGGAGGCAGAGGCTGATCCACCTCAGAAACCAGACAAAATTATTGCTGGAGGTCAACAGGAGTCAGTACAAGGCACCATGTAGCCCAGCACTATATTCTCCAAGGTATGAGACCACTTCCAGACAGGGAGGGTGGTCAGAGAAAAAGCCCCCACAGAAAACTGAACTTCTAATAGATTACATAGAAGAATTTTCTGTTACTTGCAGACATAAAGATTTTTTGCTTAGTTTTATTGTTTTTCTTTATTATGAACAGGAATCAATATAAGAAACAAATCATTTATGTGCACCAAAGAAATCAATATTCTTTTGACATCTGAGCCACATATGCAAATACACATTTTTTCCAGGGACTTATTTATTTATCTTGAAAACTGGCAAAAATAAATGAATAAAGAGTTGAAGTAGTTAAAAAATAACTTCTGTTTGGTTAGACAGTATAAGAGACTTCATGTTCATATCTTACTAAAATAACATAAACTATATTAATTGCTCTACATTTTGGCCAAAATATGACTAATTATCTGTGAACTTCTAAAACAGTCTTTAAAATTAATGAATAATTGGAAACAGATGCCATTTATTTCATATTTTAGAATATAAAAGGTAGATATGAAAACAACCTTCATTTGATAGTGTTTAATGTTGTGCTAGAAAATACATAAAATGTGTTTTATTTGGTGAATTAACTGTATATTACTAGAACATTAAAGTTAAATTAACAATTTCCCTAATTTTCAAATTTTTAGATAACTTTCCTGTATGATATCTAAAACTTTACCCAACATTTAAAAGTATAATCATGATTTGCACATACATGTATCAATTAGTTATTATTTTATTAATGTATTATTTTCTGCATTTTCACAAACTAACTTGGGGAACAGAAATGAAGACAGATAAGAGATATTCTTCAAATTTGAAATTAAATATGCTTTAGGAAATTGCTTCTTATATTTTCCAGACAAAAATACTGAATTGGTTAGATATAACTTTTATTTTAAACAAAAAGTGCCATTCATTTATTTACAGATAACATGAAATTCAGAAGATAACTACTTTTTCAAATGAAATTACAAGTTGAATTGACACTGACTCTGTACAACTAAATGAATTAATCATGTTATAACTCATTAAAATTGTCTTCCACATATTACAAAGACATTCAAATACAGAGCTCTATCACATAAACTAGGTTCCATGTGTTAACAAAATTCATTTATTATACACACATCATTATCATGAATATGTTTTAGATGATCTCAACATTCGTTCTTTCTTTGGTAGACAGTGAGAATTATGACAAATGAAGACAGTGTATGAGGGACATTAAGTCAGCTTTGATCCCATTATTAAGAAACCCATATAGAATTGGATTGAGACAACAGGATGTCATACCTAACAAATGACAAATGCAATATACCAACTTGAAATGTCTGTTTGAAATAAGGTTATCATTGAAATCAGTTACCACATGAAAAAGGTGTAGGGGCATCCAGCTAACGGCAAACACTAATATGAGTATGGTCAGTCTGTAGAAAACACTTCGAGATCTCTTTTGTATTCTTGTGACAGAACGTTTTGCTCTCATTTCTTGAGCATCGGAGGTTTCCTCAGGTTTTATCTCAAAGCAAGTTGGGATCCCTGGTATGAACTTACTAGAAGAAGACAGCTGACTTCTCACAGAGCCAAAATTTTCAGGAAGTGTTCTTGATTGGTTCTCCTGGGAAGGTCTTGCCGGAGCAGGTAACACACAGGCTGTCTTCTTGCTGTATCTTCTTCTGTGTTTTCTGATGAAAGAATAACTCCACTTATGGCTGTTGGAGAGTTTCACCTGATTCCCACTCTTTTTGGAGGGATGAAGAGTTAGGTTGATCATTTCGTTTTCTTCCAGTCTGTTTTCTTTATTGGACAATCCACAGCTTATACTCCTGCAGACACTGGTATGACTTACGGTTAGACAAACTAAGGGCAGAATATACTGAACTAGCAATAAAGAAATAGTAAAAGCAATTCTGTATGAATCAGATGGCCATGATTCAACACATAAATACCTGCTGCTCAGCAATGCTGAACCAAATGTTTCCTGAAGTTCCACAAGACTGTGGAACACTGGAAGAGGAGAACAAATTGCAAAACCTAATGTCCAGACGGTAGCTATAAGGAAATAGCCATGGTTGGCGGTTAAATTGTTAGAGATAGGATGCTTTATCATATGGTATCTGACAATGGCAATTGATATTAAAATTAAAGTTGAAACCAGAACAGACACACACTGAAGGAAAGGCATGATATGGCACATAACCTTGCCAAACATCCACTGATCCAGCAACACAGAGGTGAGTGTGAACGGTGAGCAAAAGAGCACAACCAAGATATCAGAGAAGGCCAAATTGCCTATGAGAAAGTTGACTGTAGTCTTCTGATTACGCTTTTTTATGAGAGCCATTAAAATAAGGAGATTCCCCATGAAACCAAGAAGACTTACAAATGTATAGAGCCCAATCAGAAAGTACTGTAAGTCATCTACACTGCTTCTGTAGTCATCCCAGACTGGGAAATCAGAATTCCGAGTGGTAGCAGTATTATTTTCTGTGGCAAGTGTCTTGTTATAATACTCCTTGAGCTCCAAATCCATATTAGAGTCCTGCTTGGAATAAAAAGACATTCATCAGCATCTTGAAATAAAGTACATGACTACTACAACTCAATCCATTCAGAAGGAAACTCAGTTATACCATTTGTTCCCATTACCTTATTAATTCCCTAGTTTAGAGAGGCCTTTACTTGATTCCAAGTGGAGTGCAAATTCAGTGCGGAGGAATTCGGGAAAACTGAAGTCTATCATCAGGTTTGTCCTGTGTTAAAATGTGCTAAAGAAGTAATGTAAGGAAATTAAAAAACAAATGTAGGTAAGAACTTTAAGATACATTATTTATTGTACCTCATTATACTACTATTATTCTCTGGTCACAATCTTGGTACACAATATCATTACATAATCTTTCCTTAAAATTTCTTTCTTATATGATGCCATATATGGACAAATTTAAAAGTCACCTAGCCTAACGTATTTTCCAATCTACCGAAGGATGTGATATCCTCTTTACAATTCTGAAAATACTGTGATTATAGCTGATATTATCTGATATTGCATGCCATAATGTGTTGTACTTTGCAATTTTATAAAGCTATAACTGTCTTTTACTACCATGGTATCTATCATAGGACATGATGTGATAACTTCACCACTGCGGGTGTCAGATAAATATTTAGAAGAGAATGAAAATTCAAACAAAACTCTAGCAACCTAAATAAGACCTAGTTTAGGCAATGCTCAAATTTAAGCTTCTCTAAGCTTCAAATTTAGCTTCTTTAGTGTAAGACACTCTCTCAGGAACTAGGTGTATTGAGTGGGCATTAAATAAATGATTATCAAGCTGTACTATCATTATGTGAATTCAATGCTGGATGATAAACTCGTTTGGTGATTAACCTTTGAGATACTCTAGGTTATCCTCTACTGGGGGAACCTCAGACTGACAGAGTGCTGTTGGTGCTTTTAAGACATAAAGTTTAACTGTTTGCCTTTAAATTTAGAAATTACATATATAATTATCAGCTTAAGAAAGATTGCATGGATTTTTATTATTTAAGAAAAACACTATTTTGAAGCTAACTATGGAAATGATTGTAACACAACAGCCATAGCAAGTTTTTTTCACTTAAAATGAAATTAATGTCACATCATAGTGTATTACTTATTTACCTCTTCTTCTTAGAGATTTTATGGTACTAAATGAAGCACTAAGCGACCTCTAACATATTAACAAGAGACAAAAATCTTTTCCCCTTTTAATAAAAATAAGCACTTCTATATTTTAATAAGAATTTCCCTCAGAACATTCAAGATAGCAGGTTAATTAATTCTCATGAGTATATATTATTATAGAAATTTTGATATATATACTATGAAGCATTTTTGCTATATATAAATATATATTTATCTAATTGCTTCCTATCTATAATTTAAAAATTATATTTAAATCTCTAAAAAGGCATGTATATTTTAATTAACAGTAAACACTATTATCTTCAATTTATGAGGGATTTGTAGGTTCTGGCCCAACAATTTTCCAAATAGGAAATCCTACTAATACCCGTGATTCATTACACATAAGTTTAACTTTAGATTTTATGTACAACAAGCTTTATGTAGTATGATATCACATAGCATTGTACATTGAGGAAACTGAAAGCTTTTCACAATTTCTACCACTGATTTCATGTTGATGGAATTACTTTCAGAAGCTAAGTACATCCCAATAAGGATAAACTAATTTAAAAACCCAAGTTCATATTCATTAATTCCTAGATCCTACCCAACAATTCACATGGACATTGCCTTTAGGGAATAAAAGGTTCCTGGTACAATAGTGACTCACAGGCCTTCCTGATTCATCTTATCTCCAGATGACAAGGCACTAGCTTCCCAGAACCTGCCCTAGATAGGTCAGTGAGCTTCTAATGAAAGCAGCTTTAACTGGTATTGCTGCCTAATTTCCTGAGTTCTGATGACCCCCTGGATCAGTCTAGCCTGTTCATGATCCTGTTTATACTTATAATGTGCACAGGCTGTTTGTAACTGTGTTCCTGCTTCAATGTTTTGACTCGCTTCCTTGAGTTAACCTTTTCTCCTAACTTTGCAGTAGGTCTATAATTGCTATTTACCTTGTCTTCTCCTACAAAGCAAAGAGAGAAATTATACAACTCCTCCTATAATAGCCTTGTGCCCTCTTGGAATATAACACTCATTTATAGTAAAATTGCTGTCTACATTGCTTTGAAGATGGAAGAAATAACAAAATTTGTGGCAATAGAAGTTGAGCCTAAGATTCAGATGATTTCCAGTATGTGAGGTCAAATCCTAGAGATAAAAAGAAAAGCCTTAATTACTTTCATGGTACTGAATTGCTTAACAAACTACATTATGCATAATGGATGCTAAGTAAATATTTCTGAGTAATCACTTTGGAAAAATAGTTTAATTTTCTCAGCCATAAAATAACAGTACTGAATCATCAAAGGAATATCCAGGGTACAGTAATTATAAATATGTATATATCCACTAAAATTAGACAAGTTTTAAATGGACCCAAGATGAAATTAGGAGATGCATGAGGGCTGGAGATTTAGCTCAGCGGCAAAAGTGCCTGCCTGGCATGCGCAAGGTCATGAGTTCAGTTCCCGGTACCAGAGAAAAACCAAAAAAAATAAAAAATTAAAATATAAAAAAAATTAAAAAATTAAAAAATTAAAAAATGAAATTAGGAGATGCCTACATAGACAATAATTATAACTCAGCGCTCTAACTTTTTAAATTGTCTACCTTTATTAATAAAGGCTACCACATAACCAACATTAAATTAAAATTGCAAAATACATTTAATTGAAAGTACATTAGCTTGCACAGTCTGTTACTAAAACTTTTCTATTTTAAATATATGAACATAAAATATTAAATTCATTAGGTTATAAAAACCACCTTTCCCTTAGTGAACATGTGACAGAAATGCAATTCTTACTATTCATTATTCACTGGAGAGAAATGAGGGTAATATTTAAGTATTTTAAGAAAATACATAAATTCTACACAATTTTAAAGGGGAGGCTGCTTTCATTAAAGACAGCTAAGTAAGATTAGTTGTTCTCTTTTTATTCTACAAGTATTTATTGGTGAGGGGCTCTACTCTGCTCGCATATAGATGAGTATTTCTACTGGCTCCTATGCAGCGAATATTCTAGAAGGGATTAATTCAAGGTCACTCAGTGAGTAACCGTAGCGACCTGGTCTGAGATAAAAAACTTCCTCAATGAGTGGTAAATGAATGACATTCTTATGACTGCTAATTATATATTCTTTTCACTACAACAAACAAGTTTGCACTGTTGCAAAATATAATGGACACTTAAGTAACCACACTAATTAGTAAATTATCTTACTTTTCCTCATGTTTTTCTCTCTTTTAGCTTCATTTATTCATGCAATGTTTCCTTGTTCACTTTAGACTGGTGTGATTATGTAATCAAATTTCTCCTGTTCTAGCTCCATCCCCTTCATCTATCATAGAAATATAACCATATGTAACACCTCACCTAGCATTTTGTGCAAAATGAGCACTCTGAATCTTTGTTCCAAGGAATATTTCTTCTCACAGCTGCATAATAGATACTGCAATTGGGGATAGGAGTTCATGTTAATTAGTTTCTATAAAATTGCCTCCTTGTAGTTAAGCAATCATTTAAACATTGAGGAAATTTTGTACAATAAGGTTTAGGTTATCTGCTTTAAAGTGGAAAAATCTAAGGTAGAAGAGATACTTTTAAATCATATAAATTCATTAATCACAAAATATAAATTAAAATATAATTAAATATAAATTAATTAATCACAAAAGATTTCTTTCCTTGTACATACCCCCTTACTTCCCTTTTTCCTGAGAAACACAAGAAAATCTACAGTGGGAATGTGAATCTATGTAATAACTCTCTGCTTTTCAACAAGTGTTATGACAAATCCTACACAATTTTTACAGCATAAATATTTTATACATAATAATAGCAATGTGACATGTGCACCTGATTTCACATGAGATTACTGGAGATAATTATGAAATTTAACCAGAGTGTCTTAACCATGAAATAAAGAAATACTACTTCAAGAAGAAATCTGGTATGGATTGGACGGTGTCAAACCTTTCCTATATGTTTGCATACAGTTATATCTCGCTCCCTTAAAATCCTTGGCTGAAATATTGAACTTTAATTCTCTAAATACAAAAGTAGAAAAAACTGTTTTTACATTGCGGCAACTTTGATAAAGCAATGTTTTGGTAATAAAAAGTGACTGTAATTTTCTTATAAATCCATCTACAGCTGATGTGCAGACAAATGAAAACTGAACAAGCCAACTTTTCTTTAAAGGTAAAGAGAATAAAAAGAGGAACTACTCCGGAGAACTCAAAGATAATGGAAGACTGGTTTACGCATTTATATAAGGCTTCTTTGTTAAGATAATTTTCTGCCTTATAAAAATGCACATCATTCTCACAAAGACTGCCAGTCGCATGAAATATTAAAATATGCATTTTTTTCTTTCTAGCAATGATAAAATATCAAGTACTGCCTGTTTACCTGTGACCTTGTAACATGGCAAGATGCCATGATCCCAAATATTCCCATAATTAAATCTAAACTTCGGCAAAACTGGACAGATAATGACAGCTTTGCTGAGCTAACAAACATGCGAGCACACACCACCCCCCCTTTGCAATTCTATCCGCAGAGTTTTCTTCCCTGGAGAAATCTGAAATTTAAGACTGTATCCAGCTTGCCGAATAGCCTTGGTCTTAGAATACTGAGAGCCTTCGAATACTTCTGTGGACGCTGGCCAAAGCTGTTTGGCTTCGAGCTGACACTACGCTCCTGCCTAGGAACTTGGAGAGAAGGATTCCCTTCTCTGGAATGGGAGGTGGAGGGATGGATGGATGTTGACTGCTGGCGTTTGTCGTGCGAGGCCGCCCCGCGCGTGGCAGCGCAAACCTCGGGGCGAGCTGCCTCCGGGCTCGGGCCAGCTACGGGACGGCGCTGCGCCCGCGGGCGGGCGGCACCTGGACCCCCGCAGAGCTCGGCTAGGACGCAGCCCTGGCCCGGGCCCCCGCGGTGCTGTCCCCCAGCCTCCGACGCCAGCCGGGCTGCACCCAGCTCGCCCAGGCGGGGGAGCGCTTTGTCTGCCGTCCTCCCACCCTCTCGACGAGGCCGGGTCCGCTGCACCGCGGGTGAGTGGGGGGCTGCAGGGACCTGCCCGGCACCGAAGACTCCCAGCTCCCCTGCCCGCGTGACGACCGCCCGCTCCGCCAGCCTCGCCCCTGTCTCTCCCGCCGCGCGCCCCGGGCTCCCCACCGCACGCGCCCACCCAGCCG